GTAGCCTTTAGCTATACATATGGACTCTTATGAAATTATATTGGCTCCTTTAATCTTTGGTTATACTTTTCTTTTGGGTGTTTAAGGCCATACAGTTAGTCCAGATAAACCAATTTATTTTCACTCTTAAGGTCATTTGAGGATCCGTTCCTCAGGGGTCACATAGGCTAGGTAGGAGCCCCCGGCTCCTTTCTTTTACCAGTTCTGCCTATGGGAAGATAAGTCAAAGGTCCTGCTTGACCATGACTGGCTTCACTCAGAAGCATGGAGGAAATGTTTCCTGTGTTGACCCTCATCTTTATAGACTGGACTCTGGTTCAAGTTCATTTGGTGGGGTCTCCATGGCCTCCTTGATCAAGAAGACAGGTGATGTACCACAGTTCCTTGATCAAGAAGACAGGTGACCCACCACAATTACACGACATTTTGAGAGATGCTCATAGTCCCCTGGAACAGGTCGACCTAGGAAGGCAAGGAGCAAAAATTGTCCTTTATGTCCCTCTGAACAAATTATTATATACCTCAAAGTATGTCTGTTAAACATCAAAGAAGGTTATTTCCACCAGTCTAGTACTTTTAATTACTGTGTACCATGCAGATAAATCTTGTTCAAAGACCAATTATTCTCAGATAAACCTTACTGAGACATATATTTCTTGATCTGGTATGTATAATTTGTCAGTAGGTTGTAGGAGTAATATGGTTCCCTCTGGTTTTCAAAACTAGCTAGGCAATATTTATCTCTCACATTGTCTCACCCTCCATCCTGGTTTTCCCACTTACGGTGCCCCCATTTCCCCCTTTCTCCCTTACTAATACCCTTCTCCTGTGGTCCCACCTCTCTTGAGCTCCTTCACCTTATTTTTTTGAGACAAGGTTTCTTATTGAACCTAGAACTTATCAATTTGGGTAGACTGGCTGGCCAAGGATCTGCCTGTCTCTGCCTCTCCAGTACTGAAGTTAGAGATGTGCACCAGTGTGCCAGCTTTTACCTGGGTGCTGGGGATTTTAGCTTAGGTCCTTATGCTTGCATAGGAAACACTTAGCTGATTGAGCCATCTCCTCACATAACTTAAAAAATGGAATGCACCATGAATTTATATGCCATCCTTACACAGGGATGTGCTGAGCTTCTCTGAGCTGCTTCAGTTTTAGAATATATGCTGCAAAAGGGAGAACGGTGTTTGTGGGCTTTTGGGAATGAGATTGCTTAATACTTAGTTCTTCTGAAGGATGCAGGGGAAGGACCACTGTGGTGCTTTGAATGAGGTGTCCCTCACAGCTCAAGTATTTGAACACTTAGTCACTTGGTACTGTTTGGGGAAGGTCATGAAATCTCTAGGAAGGCCAGCCTTGTTGGAGAAAGCACATCACTGGGACGGGCTTTGATCCCTATGTATTAAGATTGACAATTAAAATTATGTAATATGGTGCTAGAGAGATGACTCAGTGATTAAGACCACTGGCTGTTCTTGCAGAGGAACTGGGTTCAGTTTCCAGCACCCACATGGTGGCTAATAACTGTCCATAACTCCAGTTCCAGAGGACCCACCACCCTCTTCTGACCTCTGTGGGCATTGCACAACTCAGGTGCACTTATATACATGCAGGTAATATACTTATCACATAAGAAATAAAAATAAATTTAAAAATTAAACTACAAGGCCGGGCATGGTGGCACACGCCTTTAATCCCAGCACTTGGGAGGCAGAGGCAGGCGGATCTCTGCAAGTTCAATGCCAGCCTGGTCTACATAGTGAGTTCCAGGACAGCTGGGGCTACAGGGAGACCCTGTCTCAAGAAGACAA